ACTTGGTTATTCCAGCTCGCAGGACTGGCCTAGGGTAATTTTTAGAGGGGTTTTAATCAATATTTTAAATTGGACAATTCTCTAATATTCCTTTTAATTAATTTTAAATCCGTATTGTTATTTGTGTATTTTAATTGATTGTCCGCCGCCCTGAGTCCTACGGGAGAAGGGCGGGATATAAATCTAAATAATAAATAAAATAAATAAATAAATAAAATGAGGTGCACCAGACATGAGAAGCAGCACAGTTGTATCTCTTATAGTCTAAAGTCACCTTTTCTGAAAGCTCCCAACGGGAATTGCTATATTATGGTCTCCTTGCAATGAGGACTACCAGTAATTTTTGTAAATTATAAATGCTATCATATTTCAGAGAGTTTTAACTGCCAACCATGGATAGAAGGGACAAAATGATCCATTAACAGGAAGATCAAAGTTGATCAAATTAAGTATTTAAAAAACTCTTTTATTGGATCTGTGTTTTGCTGAGATTTTAAAAATCAACTTAAATATTTTGTATCTTATGTAATGCAGTATGTCAAAAATATTTTTGTGACATATTTTGGTGAATCACACTATCATAATTGATCACAATTTTTTCAGGGGCCTGAAAACAATACAAACTGTCCCAATTGGGGAACTGTTTTTTCTAACACCATCTTAAAACTACGATTAATTCCTTATGTGGTGGTGCAGTGGTTAGAATGCAGTATTGCAGGCTAACTCACTGCTTACTCCAGGAGTTTGATTCTGAATGGCTCAAGGTTGACTCAGCCTTCCCTCCTTCTGAGGTTGATAAAATGAGGACCCAGATTGTTGGGGGCAATACGCTGACTTTGTAAACCACTTACAGAGGGCTGTAAAGCACTGTGATGTGGTATATAAGTCTAAGTGCTATTGCTATGTAGACAAAAGATTCATTATATGGGACATTTGGCAATGGTGCAGAAGACTGGGTTTGGAACAATAGTAAGTAAAAGCAAGCAATTATCTACAATTAGCTCAGCAAATGTTTCTCCTGGCTTTTTTCTTAATAAGGAGCTGCCTTCTTTATGGTCTTGAAATAAAAATATCAAGTCATAGACATAAATGACTTGACAATTACTTTCAACATCAATGTTCTTGGAAGATATTCCAATAATGTAATTATGCATGAAGTAACTCTTAAGCTGCTCTTGCAGTCCATGAAACTATTCCACAAGACCATATGTTCATTATTCTGGAGAAAAACATCGATTTCAGACTTTTACATAGAACCATGTGCTAACACAATGCAGCAATAGATCATCATAATCATGGGTCCAATGACAGGCTGATAAGAGCAAAGATAACTGATGAATGAAGCGTCATGAATTCCATCAGGCATTAACACTGCATTAGCAAGATAAGGAGATTTCACATGATAACCTAGTATGATTTTGTAGATGCCTGCATCACTATAATTTTTATGCTGAACAGTAGAACTTGCTGCAATACTATCGTGAGTAAAAACATTCTGATGCTACATCAGCGGTTCTCAACCTATGGGTCGTGACCCCATTTGGGGTCGATGGACCATTTCACGGGGGTCGCCAAGCAAGGCTGTCCGCCATTTTTTTTCCCCTTTTCCGGCGGGTGCCTTACCTCCCTTGAGCTGGGCCAGCTGGTGGTCGGCCTGCTCCGTCTCTGCTGCTTGCCAGCTACGCCTCGGCCGGTGCAAGGGGTGGAACCACGCATGCGCGGCGCTCCCGGGATGGGAAAGTCCTCAACTTACGACCGGTTGGGTAGTCCTCGACTTACGACCGGTTTAGTCCTCGACTTACGACCGGTTTAGTCCTCGACTTACGACCGGTTGGGGGTCACGGCATTAAAAAGGTTGAGAACCACTGTGCTACATATATATATATTCTAAATCTAATGGCATTTCTCTTCTTTTAATACCAAATTTGGCCAATGAATAAAGCTTTGTTTTGGTATGCATGCAGGCTGAATGTAACGAGATAACTGATTCAATACCAGCAATGAACTAAATTCAAGCAACAGGGAGAAAGCAGAACTACTTAACTCATTTTTTGCATCCATCTTTATACAAAGGGAAAAAACAGTCCAACCTATCAAAAACAGTACTGTAAAAAACAGATTAGAAACACAAGTTGAGATAGGCAAGAAAATGGTAAGTGAGCACCTGTCCACCCTAGACAAGTTCAAATCACCAGGACCAGATGATCTTAAGATACAGAAGGATCTTGACAGACTTGAACATTGGGCACTGTCTAATAAAATGAAATTCAATGGTGAAAAAGTAAGGTTCTACATTTAGACAAGAAAAACCAAATGCACAGGTATAGTATAGGTGGTACTTTGCTCAATAGTAGTAACTGTGAGAGGGATCACAGAGTCCTAGTTGACAATCACTTAAATATGAGCCAGCAGTGTGCTGCAGCTGCCAAAAAAGCCAACACAGTGCTAGGCTGCATTAACAGAGGGATAGAATCAAGATCACGTGAAGTGTTGATACCATTTTACAATGCCTTGGTAAGGCCACACNGATGTAAAAAAGATGTTGAGACTCTAGAAAGAGTACAGAAAAGAGCAACAAAGATGATTAGGAGACTGGAGGCTAAAACATATAAGGAATGGTTGCTGCAACTGGGTATGTCTAGTTTAATGAAGAGAAGGACTAGGGGTGACATGATAGCAGTGTTCCAATATCTCAGGGGTTGCCACAAAGAAGAGGGAGTCAAGCTATTCTCCAAAGCACCTGAAGGCAAGACAAGAAGCAACGGATCGAAACTAACCAAAGAGAGAAGCAACCTAAAACTAAGGAGAAATTTCCTGACAGTTAGAACAATTAATCAGTGGAACAACGTGCCTCCAGAAGTCGTGAATGCTCCAACACTGGAAGTTTTTAAGAAGACCTGGACAGCCATTTGTCTGAAATGGTATAGGGTTTTTCTGCCTGACCAGGGGGTTGGACTAGATGACCTCCAAGGTCCCTTTCATCATCATCATCATCATCATCATCATCATCATTATCATCATTATTATTCATGTAATCCATCTTATTAATATACATTGCCATGGTACATTCCAGATATTGCTTAGAATATGATGTTGGTTAAAACATATTAAGTTAGCTGTCTATCTAAAAGCCTGTATGATGCATTGGTCCTTCCTAAGTTATGGAATTCTGGATGGGTCACTTTTGGCCAGTCACTTACTCTCAGCCCTAGACTGGAAAATCAAAAATCATCCATCTACAAATCCACAGCAGAAAAAATCTGTTACAGTCCATGGCCATCAATGAACACACTTTCATCCTGTAGTTGATGAATTTCAAATAATAATAATACAAAAATTGGTGCCACAAAGATATGAATACGAAGTATTAAAAGAAACACTTGGCATATTACATGAGCCACTTTAAGAAAAATACTAGCTCTAATTATAGAAAATTAATCAAAGAACTTTTGAGAAGAAAATTAAATGTGGGAATATAATTAAAGCCATAAACACTTGGACTGTTCCAATTATTCAATATATTACAGGTATAATTGATTAGACACAAGCTGAATTATACATACTTCATAGAGAAACAAGAAAATTAATGACCATGAATCATGCTTTTCACCTAAGAAGCAATGTTGACAAACTCTATTATGCCACTGGGATTGATCTGTTCCAAGTAAAACAAACACTGAAAGAATGATTTTAAGATGCACAGTGAGTAATGTCTACTGGTAGAAATTTGTAAATAAAAACTACCGAAGACTGCAAAATAAAAACAACACTATAAAAAGGAAGCAACTGGAAATATAAATCTCTTAATTTTGTGTGTGTGTTTGTGTGTGTGTGTGTGTGTGTGTGTGTGTGGAGAGAGAGAGAGAGAGAGAGAGAGAGAGAGAGAGAGAGAGAGAGAGAGAGAGAGAGAGAGAGAGAGAGATTGTTAAAAGAAAATCAGATACAAACTGTCTTGGCTATTGGATGAAAAGCAAAACTTGGTAGAAAAGTAAAAAAAAAGATTGAAGAAACAATCATGGATAAGAACAGGCCACAAAAACAAACATGATACAGAATATCAATTACAGACAGCTCTTGTTTAGCAACCCCATTGGATAGCAACTGCAAATGCAACAGTAATAAATTCATTTTCCTACCAATGAGCACATTTATCACAATAAAAGTCTTCAGTGTGAAACTGATTAACTTCTGGTCAGTTTCAGGCTGCAGCTGGGAGATGGCTGGAAGTGGACCATGAGCTGTTTGCAACTGGGCTACAGAAACAGCAGGTGAGCACACGTACGTGCATGCACATCCTCACGCCGCTCTTGCAAATGGAGTTACATGCGCATGAGTGCTTGCCGCCCGCTCGTGCAGAATTATCCCCTTCCCCCCCCCCCCTTCCGGTCCACAAAGTTGGAAAGGTTAGCAAGCTCTGCACTGCAGAGAAAAGCAGCTCAGGAAGAGATTGCATTTAAGCAATCCATCTCGCTTGTCAGAGGGCAACCCCCCTCTCTGGGGAAAATAAACAGGCTCTTTATTAAACAATTATAAATGAAAAGAATAAAAATATTTTTTTAAAAAAACCTACCTTGCTTTGACCTGATTACTTACTGATACTTCCATGATTCCCATGCTTTTGATTAGAACTTGAGTCACTGGAAAATACCTGTGACAATCATTAGATGAATCATGACCATCATTATCCATCTGTCTGAACAACATAAATGATTACCTTGCAAGGTATAAGGCCCTGAAGCATATTAATGCTCTGCATTATCACAAAGGCTTCTAACATCTCAATCTTGTATTCCAAGGACTGAATGCTAAACCGGTAAAGGTCTGGAAAAGATGTTGTGTACAACTGACGCAAAATCTCTGCTTCCTGTGGAGAACGCCTCTTCAGAAAACCCTGTTATAATTGAAAACAAATCACCATGAGACTTTTGAAATTATTATCCAAATTTACCAGATCAAGCAACTAGAGTTTAGTTTCAATCCTCTAATTTTTATTTTCTGGAAGAAATTAGATTTTTCACCAAAACATTTTGTTTGGGCAAGAGAATAATTGTCTATACTTGAGGCAAGTGTTTCATCTTATCTGCTTCTCAGATAGGTGATAGTATGACGATGAAGGATAGCATATTAGATGCACATTTTAATATTGGAAAACATTGAATAAAAACATCAAATACTAAAAAATGTCAAGGGCGACAAGTGAATCTAAGCAGGAACACAGTGAATGAATCAATTGAACAAAAGTTTGAGAAACAGCAAAAAGTTGTCTAGAAACCACAAAGTAAATATAAAGTATGACAAGAGATATTTCTCTCATTCTTGCTCCATTAAAGTACTAACTGAATTTCTGAATTGTTATTCTAGAGTTCACTTATAATGATTTTGTATCCTATTTTTCTGGTCAAATTAGTCCTAGAGGCAGTTGAAAACTTTAAAAATTTCTGGTCATTTCAGTCATCTAGTCATAATGCACCAACCTATGGACAACTGTTGTCCTAGCTGGTTAACTAATTCCAACATAAGTTTAAACTTTTACTGGAGTCTTCACTTTTGTCGCAGATGCCATCAGACTACTACTGTGGATACGAGCAAATTTATCTTTAATTTCTCCCTCATTTTGGGGAGGGGGGGTAGAAACCAATTCCTATGGAGTTGTCAGAGACTCAATCCTTTGGCTGGCTAAGATTGATGAAGCATAATTCTAGATGTCTGTCAATGCCTTACAAAAATTTACTGCTTGGCAGCCTGATCTTTACACTCATTTAGCTGTCTCATTTCCTCGTATTTGCCATGAGAGTCATCTCTCCTCTTTTCTCTTTTCTTAATGTCTTGACCTTCCAAATTGATTTGCAGTTGTCCCTATCAGGTTCTTTTCCTACCTTCCCATGTCCTCCTGCTCAGTCATTTATCATATTACTCATCCCAATAATTCAATACTCTCCTTTACCACACAGAACTATTTCTTTTCCCAACAGCCAGATCTGCTGGTGAAAAAAGTGTATTAAGAACTTCCTCCACATATTAGCTGATTGGATTGCCATGTTCTCCTATTGTTCTGAGTTTTGCAGTCTCGTCTCCTGTTGGAGGGGCATAGTGTGCACTAATGACAATTCCTACAATTTTGGCACTGATTAAAATCCTTTAGTGGTAAACACTAACTTAGGCACATATCTCCTTAAATCATGGGGTAACATTCATAAAGCCTACATTCATTTCCTTTTCAACTATGAAAATCAGGTTTGTTGAGCATTCCTGCCTCTCATCTTATAACCTTTCCCAGACTAATTTGGTAAAGGCGGAGATGAGACTACATATTAGCAACATGCAGGAATACAGTGGAAAATGAAGCAAGGTAGTATTAGAGACACACTGAAGTTGTGAATGTTATTCATTTTCAGAAGGCCCTCCAATTATATGATGATTACATAGAATCACATCAGAAATATGTGTAAAACATAGGAAATGGAGTTATGTGTTTGTGTCATAAGGGAGTAGAAAGATGTCCCTTCCCATACACAGCTGATGTGGGGAGGAAGTCAACATGAGATAATATTTTACATGCCCCCCTGACTCTTTAGTAGACTTCAAGGATAGTATCATAGTGTCAACATCCCTGGCACATAGCTTCATCTGAAGACAGCAACTCAGAAGAAGTCGGTTAGATGATCCTGTCAAGCTCTTCACAACAATTAAACCAGATTGAATGTCAGACCACAGATAAAATGAGTTCCCAGTAGCTCAAGAGCCTGATCTAACCTCATTAGTACAGTCCCTTTCTAGGAAGACACAATGGCATCAGACTAAAAATCTGAAGATATGAAACACAAACCTTTTAAGACTTCAAAATTGACCATCAGTTCTTTGAATTGAGAGATACAACACACACTAGACTTCTTAAGAATAGTCAGTTGTGTAACATGACCATGGAGGTCCCCAAAGTGTAGATATGGTAATCATATTCCTATAGAAGAATCTTGTACCAGAGTCGATAATGATTTCACTTAGAACAGTATGGCTATATAATGTTAAATGTTAAGATGGTTAGTAGTTGACATTATTGGTACTTAGTAGCTAAACCATTGAAAAAAATGGCTGTGGAAGTAAATACACAGCTTTATTAGACAGCTAAATGTATATTCAGAGCATATTGCAGACTATTCTATAATTGCATTCATAAACTAATTTTTAACAATCCGAAAGTGATTCATGATACAAAGAGTTTGAACTCATGAAAGCAAATATACCTCCAGAACAGGGCTCCAGTTGAGGACAGATGAGCTCATAAATACCATGCCATTCCTTGACACTGTTGCAGGAGAAGCATTGTCAATATTATGAGGTTCAAAAACAATTTTACAATTGGGCGCCATAGGAATCCGATCTCCATTAGCTAGGGTCAATGTTTTGTTATCATCAAGCACCGAATTCAGATTTTCAATCCAAATGGCATCAACAGGACCATCGAGTACTATCCAGATGTGTTCCCCTATATCCAAAAGGGGGGGAAACATTTCTTGTAAAGAGAGTATTTTGTGATACAATCATTTTCCTGCCTCATGGAATACATATGAATATGATTAAAAAGTAGAAACAACACAGACTAATTTGCTGTGTGATATTTATAGTCAACTTCTCAAGTGGCTCTGAAGATCAGTGGATGATCTTAGACAAGTTCCTACTTAACCTTGCAGAAGTGAAATGCAGAAAAGCTTCATTTAAATCATTTCTTTCTTTGGCTCTCTCCAGCAATTCTGAAAAGCACAAAATGTGTATTCTGTTTAACAGTAATAGATATTATTTAATAGTAACAGATTTCTCAAAGCAAGTAATATGCTGGGGAAACATTACTTACAAGATACTTGACATTTTTATTTTACATGTAAAGCCCTTGACAGGAGACACCTAAGCAATAAAAAGTCATCCTCCTATTCTCTTTCCCCATCTGTCAAAGCTGCCATTCAGCAATTTTGATAAGAACTACTTCTTTTGCACTCTTTTTCCTAGACTGAGAGGAAAAAAAGTATCCACACATAGTGAGCAGGCTAAGGATGTTAGTCGAAAAAATAAAGGTGTTGAAACTATGGGAAAAATACAGAGAAGAGCAACTAAGATGATTAAAGGCCTGAAGACTAAAACATATGAAAAACAGTTGCAGGATTTGAGTTTGGCTAGTCTAGAGAAAAGAAGAACTAGGGGTAACATGATAGCACTATTCCAGTATTTGAGGGCTGCCACAAGAAGAGGGGGTCAACTTATTTTCCAAAGCACCAGAGGGCAACACAAAAAACAATGGATGGAAACTAATTAAGGAGAGAAGCAACCTGGAATTAAGGAGAAACTGCTTAACAGTGAGAACAATTAACCAGTGGAATAACTTGCCTTCAGACGTTATAGGTGCTTCATCACTGGAGATTTTTAAGAAGAGACTGGGCAGCCACTTGTCTGAAATGGTATAGAGTCTCCTGCTTGAGCAGGGGGTTGCACTAGAAGACCTCCAAGGTCCATTCCAGCTCTATTCTATTCTATTCTATTCTATTCTATTCTATTCTATTCTATTCTATTCTATTCTATTCTGTTCTGTTCTGTTCTGTTCTGTTCTGTTCTGTTCTGTTCTGTTCCGTTCCGTTCCATTCCATTCCACATTGCTTGTGATCTATGGGGCTGAAAATGTTTCCCAGCCTTGCTACAAAAACTTGAGGCTTATCCATGAATTTAAGAATTCTATTTCTCATCTGCACATTCTATTCAGGAATCTAAAATATTTAAATAATCTGATAAATACAGCAACCAACTAGAATAGAGTGTACTTTCCAGCAGGTCATTCTCACAATAACCCAACTATATGATCTGTTGTTAGCTTTTAAGTCCAATTTTCAGTATTCTCAGCCATTACCAATTATATGACTATATTTATAGTAACATCGGGACAGCCAAAGCTCCAAACTCAACCCTGTCTGCTATTGCAATTTCTCCATTTCATCCATAATATGCTCCCAAGAGTCTCCTTAGTTTCAGACTAGGATGGCTCGATTAATATTATAACAAATGAGAGTAATGAAGGGAATAACTGGATCTTTGGATGTTTTTTTTCCCTATGAAATATAACTCTAGCAATTATAATATAGTACCCTTCTTGGCTCTCAAAGTTTTCCTCCAAAGAGTGGAGAATATCCCATCTGTCCAGTCATTGGTTGCAACATCAAGGCGTCCAAACATCTGAGGTGCAGTGATGGCCTTTGGATTCATTCTCATTTCACGATGGGGTTGGCCACAATCTGTACATGCCAAAGGGAAAATCCATTTGAAATCATTGCTACAGTAGTACAGCATTCTATCAACAGGTGGATTTTAGTCTTTGAATCTGATAGTGTAAAAACATTCTGTGGGTTGCAATGTTAAAAGTTATCCATGGTATATTGCAGCCTTCTCTTAACTATTCATTTATTTTCAGCCATGTTAAAAAGAGGGAAACACAAACAGAAAATAAAGGCGTACTCAAAAGTTTTAAGTTGCTACTTGTTGATTTTTTTCCCTTCAATTTTAGATTTCCAAGTGATATTAGATTACAATTTACATTTTCTTTCATCAACATAAATGTCATGCATTATGGGAACTTTAATCCAATAATATCTAGGATGAAATTGTTTTAGCTTTGTTCTTTAAGTACAAGAATTGTATTGGGTGATCAACATAAGGAATGATTTGTGCTTCGCAGCTTGTTTTACATGTAGAGATTCTTGACGTTAACAAAGCATGTTAAATAAGCATATACAACTTACACACATTTGCATGACTTTTATTAACATATACATTTTCATGTTGAACATTATTAAAGGAAGCATGAAACAGCTTTAGGCACTGTGCACATGTAGGCATCCATCACAGTTAATCTCCTTTGTTCATATTAAGCAGGGAGACTTGCTTTCCCCTCCTCACCATAATATTACCTCTAGCAAATTTCACTGCAATTAAATTGGTTTTTTAAAAATATCTTTAGATCTACATTTATAGGTTTTGTGCAGCAAAGACCCATTAGGTGGTAACTATTACCAATTAAGACTGGCTAGCTCTTTGGATTTGAAGGAAATAATATATTTGAAGCATATGAGCCATTCTTGTTGCATCTGTTGGCAACTGATTAAAGCAATTTTGTCATTTCCTGGGATTGAATGGTTGCTCCCTGCAGCCACAATGCAGTTTCAGGAAAAGACACATTTGGCTTAAGAAGCTAGCAAAAGGTGCTGCACATGCTCTGAAGTATCCTTATCCCTTTCAGTCTGAAACACTGCATCACCCTTCTACAAATAAATGCCTTGAAATGTATTAGCTGAGCATCCTACTTCAAAGCCTACAGCACAGGATTGTAGGCTTTGAAGTAGGATGCTCAGCTAACACAGAAAACTGTTAGCTGAACCCTTGGCATTGTGAAGTCAGCAATGAGGTCACTACAATCTAAAGGAGATACAAAGCTTTCTGACATCAGTGGGCTATTTTTCTCCGTGGCTGATATGTTTTAAGAGAGGAAGGAAACAGTTAGAAGCTGATGGGAAAACTATTTCAATAAATAACTGAAGAGGGAAGGATTTAAATTGCTGCTAAAATAGTATTAAATGAAAAACCTACCTATTTTGATACATTAGAGTTCAGGGGACAGAAAAAAGAAAACTTGCTTTACTTTAGCAGTCATTTCCTAAACGGCCAAATGGCCTTTCTTTTTGCCATCAAACTTTCATTAAGTGTTTCTCACTTTGAAATCTCACCTGACTGTTGAACACTTTGTGCAAAACCCACTATTATTCATAATATTCCTCTTTCAGCATCAGAACTCAAGTGCACCATGAACTACTTACTGTTCCAGATTTACTTCCAGAAAATTATGAATCATTCTCAGGATGGTTGGATAAAAGCATTTTGGGAGAAAATGACCCTACCTTTGAACATTGCATTTTGAGTATTCCTATGCCTTGATCATACTTTTACATTTAAAAAAATAATAATTTTCTTTAATCCTATCTTTATAACTGCCAATTAACAATTTGATGCATGTAAAATAAGTGCAAGTGATTTCAGAAATTACCTCTAAAAAACCAAGACATATGGACCCGGTTTAAATGCAGCTTACTTGATTAGACCAAGGATACAGATAGCAAAGCCACTCCTGGAAGAGAGCCATTTTTGCTAATTTTGCATCCTCCGTGGCATCATGCTAATGAAACAGCTTTGCAATGAAACTCACTTCATGGTCAGGCTTACCCCACACCACCACTCAGCAGTAATTCATATAGCTTTTTCCTCTGCAGACTTTTAAAAAATATTTTCATTAGAACATTGGCAGAGATCACACAAAGAATTTTGTGATCATAACTATGCTCACTGTCTGTGGCCCATAACAATAATTTAGACAATTTAGTGTTGTGGCAATATTCTAGCATCCTTGGAGACAGAAGTCATTGAAAAAAAGTGGTGTAGCTAGAATAAACTGTAGAGCAGAAAAATGTCTATCGACAGGTTTTGTAAGGCACAGTTTATTGTGATATGTGAACAACCAGCACATATATTCTCTGTTTATAATTCTTAGGAATAGAGACTTCTTTAAATTCTGCTGTTGTCAGTGTAACTAGATTCTTAAACAATTTCAAGAACATCATGATGGCTAACAACAACAAAAAATGCTAATATCTTTAGAAATAATCACATAACCATTTGGGTAAAACTATATATTTTTTTTACTATGTAGTCCTTAAAAAGCTTCCTCTGAGTACTAATTTATTTTACCAAAATGCAAAAAAAAAGATATTTTTTTTTACTTATCCCAGGGTCAGTTTTCCAGACCTGTCATGGATTTCATCAGTGTGTGGATGCATGTTGTTTTTCCTGCTCCACTCGGACCCAGAGCCATCATGCCATGTCTTACTCGTTGTGTTTCAAAAAGCTGGATAATTTTCAATCTCCAGGGTGGGTGATTAATTAAGCCAGCCTCTTCAACCTGTCAAAAATTACAGCACTGATTACTTTATCTATATAGAATCCCTGCCTAGACTTTACCCTTGCTTTATTACAGGATTTCTCAACTTGGCAGTTTCCAGGCATTGTGACTTCAACTCCCAGAATTCTACAGCCAGCGCAGCCATTACTGAGAATCTTGGGAGTTGAAGTCCACTTATCGTCAGTTTGCTAAGGTTGGAATACACTGCTTTATTAGAACATGAAGAAGCTTCTGCTCACACGAATAGAAAGTCCTTCCAGGTCTTCCCTTTGAACATGTCTGCATTAGGAGGTATGAAGAGAGCACAGGTATAGGTGCCTATGTTGGCAGTGGTGCTGAAGTGATGTAATTCGTTCAAAATAGGACTAATACATCGACCAGTTAAAAATAAAACATTTTCTCCATTTTATGTCAGTAGAGGGTGTAAAAGGTGTTTACAGTGGGTGTAAAGTAGCACCTTTCACTATTACTTGGACTAATTTTAACATATGGTAAAGCAGACATGTCAAACACAAGGCCCGGGGGCCGGATGCGGCCCGCGAAGTGCTTTCATGTGGCCCACGAAGCCATCCTGGAAAGGCTCCGCTGCCTTGGCCCTGGCCCAGGCCAGCCGGGAGCCAATGTACAATTTTGTGGTGGCCATCTATGCTGAAACACATTCAGTCTTAGCTCCACAAGGCCGTCTAGAAATAGCGAGGAACCAGCCCCTGCCGCATCGGCCCCGCCCCCTGGGTGCATGCTGGGGAGGTGTCACCCTTTGTGAGGAATGAAGAAATGGATCATGCCTTGGCGCTTGCCCCGGTCCCACCCCCTTCTGCCAGAGACCTTCAGATCTGTCCCACTCCTGCCCAGGCTCCCACAGGCACCCTTGACGCGAACGATGTAGAGCTGGCCACGCCCACCAGTAGGCCACACCCACTCCATCCACGCCCACCCAGTAGGCTGCACCCACCCTGGCCACACCCACCCGGCCCCCGAGGGCAACCGCAATGCTGATGCGGCCCTCAATGAAATTGAGTTTGACACCCCTGTGGTAAAGGAAGGTTCCTTTCTTGTGCTGTCTACAGCCAATCCATTTTAGATATTCTAAATATTTTGCATCTGGACAGTTCTACTAGCACATATCAGCTATTCTATGAATTTCTGCCAAACTAAATTGTCTCTTTGCTCATTGAATTCAAGGTAGGACTGTGCCCTTAATTACAAATCATGTCTTCATCACAAAACAAGACAAGATAGCTAAGAATATGTTATGCTAAGGAAAACAAAAAAAAACATTACCAATATGAGATGTTTTTTAGAAAAAAGCATATAAATGTTTATAAACGGTACCTGTTTGATGATGGCAGCTTCTAGTTCTGGATAACCTGCCTTGTCAAGCTGTATACTTGGGAAAAGATCTTCTATCAAACTCAAAAATAAGGGTTCATCTTCATCTATCTAGCAATAAAAAGTAAAAGGAAAATTAGTGTTTTCTATCGTGTAATACTTAATTGCAAGTACCTAGTACCAAATTCACAATTTTATACTATACAGAAAAACCACAGTTCACTAATCTAAATATATTTCTACTGCATTGCTGGTAGGAATAATGCACATTTTACACATCTGGGTCAGAGAAAGGACAGAGCAAATAAAACTGAAACATTATCAAAGTAGGAATAGTTAAAAAGAACAAACTGAAAATGATAGGATTTAGAAGGGCCCAGAAGTTTGTGAAAAAATTATAACATCTGAAAAAATGTTTTAAGAAAGAGCTCAAAGTAAAAGGTAATTGATTCAGACCCATCATCTTTCAGTGAGGCAGGTATGCTGGGTGTGAAAAATTATGTTTCAGAAACTATTTGGAAGGAAAGGAAGGAAAAATAACACCCTGACAAACAAGGTGGTTTATAGAAAGTTAGGGTAAGAAAACACTAAATAATGCCAAAAGAAGAACTTTTAACAAAACCGGAGAGCAAGAGAAAATGCTAGCTCTCCATCAAAACAAGGATTTAAATCACAGCGTTTGGAGTAACAGAAGATGGGCAGTAATCTGTTGCATGTTACATTCCCAGCACAATGACAAAAGAATTGTCTTGAAAAGAAAATTTGTAGCCTATAATATTCTAACTGATTTCTCCACTCAACCCTCAACATATGAAAAATTGTTCATTCGTTCAGTCACCCATTTGGAAGTTCAGTACACAGTATTGTTCTGCACAAAAATAAGCACAAAGCCGATATATTTGGCAGGCTATTAAAACCATGGTGAAATACAGCGGCAAAATAAATTTGCAAACTAGAAATATCTTGGCTGAACATACATGACTGTCAGCCCTCCCAGGCAAACAAGACAAGATGAAGTAATTCTATTTTCTTGTCAGAACACATTAACAGAATCTTGCAAGTCTGAAGGCAAAAAGCCTCCACTTTTAACTACTTGATCCATTAGGGTACATCTTTCCTAAGTTTCTTCCTCTGACCATTAAGCCATTGGGGACTCCTGCCTCTCTCATCTGATTGTTTCCTAGACAGCATCCCCAAGGTCATTCATACATTCCATTCCGTTGACAGAGACAGAGCATGTAGGGATGAATCTTAATGAACCCAACTACGAAGTATTCCATAGTAGGGTTATTTAATAATGAAAGCCTTTTCTTTGGTGTCAAGGGTTCTGGGTATGGACTCCTCAAATCCTATGTGCTCCGTCCCTTTTGAAAAACACAGCTTTTTCAAACCAATATGAACCTTATTTCCTTGTACCAATTTTCTTTCGTCTCCCACATGCTCAGATAGGCTTTGTTGGTTATGCCTATCACTTTGGAGTTTGGTAAAAAAAGAGAAGGCCCCTTCTGCACTCTCATAAGTTACCTGGACCTCATAAGTTACATTTATTCATCATTATCAAAATTAGTGTTTAATGCTACGTATTACAGATTTTGTATTGTTTATCCAAAATGGGAGTATCAAGAGTCATCCAGCTCACCATCACTGCTCCAACTCAGGGGGTTGGCAACCCATAAGCTCATGGCCAGAAGCAACTTACCACCTGAAATTGTCTGGCCTGTAATTTCAAAAACAAGTATCCTATTCACCTGGCCCATGATGATCCCAAAAAAGAATTCAGGTTTGTAATTCTGTCTCAAGTTTGATGTCTGAATTCAGGCTTACCAATTTAGAAAGATTCATGTCTCTCAAGACACGCATTACAATAGTGGATTCAGTGTCACTGGGATTTGATCTTTTGGCTGCACCCAAGGTCCGTAGTACTGACAATATATTTCTCAGACCAAAGTCATAATGTACCTACAAATAAGACAAAAGGTTCTAGATAGAGGAACAAAATTAAAGCAAGGAGGCAAACAGACATTCTGGGTTCCAACACCGGTTGGCTTAGAAATAAGGACATTACTCGATTGAAGGCCTGCTGCTGAAAATGGTAGAATGAACTGTAATCAGCTCAAAGTTCCCAATAATAACAGTAAATCCTCTTGCCCATAATGTGACATAATGTAAATGTGTGGTAGAACAAAATATATTTTCCACAACTAGCAACAGTAATACATAGAACAAATGTGAAGAAATATAGTATGCATTTGTAACACTGTTAAGCTAAAGATTGTTGATTGAAATAGAAACGTTGAATAAATAGGAGACTGGTATTATTCTTCATGACTACCACTACCCTCTCTTAGTTACTTGTAAATAGTGATTTAAAAAGTATACACACCAGCCTATCTTAATGCTGAAATAGTCGGAACCTCTGGAGACTTTGATTCAAGATAATACACTGAGAGAAAGACATAAAACTCATCCCATGGGGGAAACTGGTCTTATCACACTAGTTTCAAATATCTGGGAAAGCAAATTATCTGTTCTATCTTTCTGATGAAAATTTTATTAAAAAAAAAAACAAAGGGAAATGAAAACATGTCTCTCATTCTTTTTTTAAAAGTCTGATAAAATGTATCAATGCTTCAATAAAAATAGAAAATAGAAATAAAGCATTCCTTTTTTAAAAAAGGAATTATTTCTCCAGAGAAAAATAATTATTTTGTGTTTATTTTGCCGTGTTTGTTCAAAGGCATAGTCCAATACTAGAAGGAAAGAGGACAACCAGTACTAAGGTGGCTGGATTTCATTACAGCAATGATGGATGCAATGTTGGACAACTTGAAGAGACCAGATTGGGGAGAGATCTTTCTGGAGAAAACCAATGTGGTCACTAAGAGTCAACACTAATCTGATGATACATAATCAATCATAGGCCAGGACAGCTCTTGCCCTTTCTCAATTAACAAAACATTCATTAAATATTGCTTGCATTATATTAAAATAAATGCATTTCTTTGAAAAAAAAATATTTTCCAAGGGAACAATGTCTTTTCCCCATTCCCCCCCCCCTTTGGCTTTGATGCACCTTGCAAAGAAGTCATATTTAAACTTAAATCTCAAAGGAATGCTTTGAGGAATTACTACCTAGTTTTTTGTTATTTTAGATCTTTAAAATTCCTATGCATCATGTTCCATTTAAAAAGAAAAAGAAATACACTACTGATGATTCTTTGCCCTCCAAAACGAGAGTGAGTCTTAAGATTATTCTGTAGCATTACCATTGCTAAGAACTTCATCACTAGAGCTGCTGTCATCTAGAGCATTTAAATTCTACTTCATGCTTGCTCTTTGGGATATTTGCAGAACAGAATTGTTCATAAAAGATCATTTCTCCTACCTGCTTGGACAATTGTTCTTCACAGAGTTTATACAGAGTAAAGAACTTCCTTGCAAGCACAACGTTATCAATGAAGCCACAGCTAGCCAATTTGACACGGATGATGATCTGGCGATCAGGAACCATCATTGCCACTGAGCGGAAGTTGATTTTCAGGTTTTCAGGTAACTCTTGACGACCAGCATATCCAGGGTTCTGATTTAACATAGCATTATCAACTGAATTAGACTTCAGACATAATTTTCAGAATTTCTTTTACAGGTTCTATTTCGCATACAAAGCTATCAAATATATCTACATGGATGGAAGTGTGTAGTGAGGTGTCCCAGGGCTCTGTTCTGGGTGCAGTGCTCTTCAACATCTTCATCAATGATTTAGATGAGGGGATAGATGGGGAACTCATCAAATTTGCAGACGCCACCAAGCTGGCAGGAATAGCCAACACTCCAAAAGACAGGCTTAAGACACAGAAGGATCTTGACAGACTTGAACACTGGGCACTATCTAACAAAATGAAATTCAATGGTGAAAAAATTAAGGTTCTACATTTAGGCAAGAAAAACCAAATGCACAGGTATAGTATAGGTGGTACTTTGCTTAATAGTAATAACTGTGAGAGGGATCTCAGGGTCCTAGTGGACAATCACTTAAATATGAGCCAGTAGTGTGCTGCAGCTGCCAAAAAAGCCAACACAATGTTAGGCGGCATTAAGGGATGGAATCAAGATCATGTGAAGTGTTAATACCACTTTACAATGCCTTGGTAATGCCACACTTGGAATACTGCATCCAAAAGGAGTACAGAGAAGAGCAAAGTAGAGAAAAGCAACAAAGATGATTAGGGGACTGGAGACTAAAGCATATAAGGAACGATTGCTGGAATTGGGTATATCTAGTTTAATGAAGAAAAGGACTAGGGGTGACATGATAGCAGTGTTCCAATATCTCAGGGGTTGCCACAAAGAAGAGGGAGTCAAGCTATTCTCCAAAACAACTGAAGGCAGGACAAGGAGCCATGGATGAAAACTAACCAAAGAGAGAAGCAACTAGAACTAAGGAGAAATTTCCTGACAGTTAGAACTATTAATCAGTGGAGCATCCTGCCTCCAGAAGCTCTGAATGCTCCAACACTGGAAGTCTTTAAGAAGAGACTGGCCAGCCATTTGTCTGAAATGGTATAGGGTTTCCTGCCTGACCATGGGGTTGGACTAGATGTCCTCCAAGGTCCCTTCTGTCTAACCCACATTTTTCTATCTTATCAAGTAGTAGGTTGTGGTCTACTTTATCAAATGCCTTACTGAAGTCCAAATAAGTTATATCCACAGCATTTCTTTGGTCCACTAATTTTGTCACCTGGTCAAAAAATGCAATAAGATTTGTCTGGCATGATCTGTTTTTGACAAACCCATGTTGGCTTATGGTTATGACTTTGTTTGCTTCTAGGTGTTCGCTGATTTGTTGCTTGATTATCTTTTCCAGAATCTTCTCAGGTATTGAGGTAAGGCTGATAGGTCTGTAGTTTCCTGGATCCATTTTTTCCCTTTTTTGAAGATGGGAACTACATCAGCTCTTTTCCAGTCATCTGGTAGTTCTGCAGTGCTCCAGGATCATGGAAAGATATAGTTCGGTGGTTCTGAGATCACATCTGCCAGTTCCTTCAGAACCTTGGGGTGATTTGAACTTGTCTAGGGTGGACAGGTGCTCACTTACCATTTTCTTGCCTATTTTAACTTATATTTCTAATCTGTTTTTTATGGTACTGTTTTTGATAGGTTGGACTGCTTTCTCCCTGTTCTTTGTCACCTTCTTGCCACTTTTTCCCATTAGTGGATCAATCATTTCCTTAATTATTTTCTTGTTTTTTACATGTTGAAAGAAGCTTTTTTATTTTTGACTTTTGGTGCAAGCCTTAGTTCATTTTGAGCCTTAGATTTCCTCACTTCACATTTGCAGGCTCGGGCTACTTGCTGATATTCTGCCTTAGTGTAGGAACACAAGATCTAATGAAAACAGCTTCACCACCATCTGAGAAGATGGCCCCTTCTCTGCCATGTGGCCCTGAGCTCTGCAGATCTTCAAAAGGTAAGTGAGTGATCAGTGATGGGGTGGGAAGGAGCATAGCATAGCAGGCCCAGTGCTTGTTAGGAGCCTGGGGGGGGGGAGTAGGCAGAAGGCATGTTGCGGCATCTCTGCAGTTAGTCGTAAGGGTGAGCTACTGCTGTGGTGCTGCAACATTCGTAACTTTGAGACTGGGTCATAAGTACTTTTGGGGATGGTGTAGTAACTTTGAACTGTTGCTGAGTTAACTGTCATAACTTAAGGACTACCTGTATTTTCCTCTTGACTGGAATCAGAATGTTTGTGTTACTGAGTTCAGAGTAGATCAGAGCTGGAAGTTCTAAAAAGGTCTTTAACTCTGTCCCATATTTCATATGTGATATTGTTAAACTATTTATTTGGAATACTCACCATTGTCAAAAAAAGGCCAAATTCAGGATTCATTTCTACATTATCACCATCAGTGAAAATGAAGTTCTTCTTGCGCTCTTTCTTACAGGTCAGAACAATTGCAATTTGTTGAGCAGCAACAGACAGCACCGGTAAATCAATGCGGTTAAATTCATCAAAGCAGCCCCAGGATCCAGACTGAGCAAGACCTTAAATCAGAGGAAAGGCTGATATTAAAAGGAGTCAGTCCTGCACTCATTTTGCATAATTAGATATCAAATCACAGTGTTTTGTAAAATTAAAAAAGTTAAAGCAAGTTTAGAGAAGGTTAGAGCTGAATTTATGATATTTAAAATGTGCTTGAAATGTTGGTACTTCTATCAGATAAAAGGATTAAAATCAAGGTGCCTGAAAGAAGCAAATGACTTGTCATTCTGGGCAAGCTGCTGAACTAGATAACATTTGTTCCCTTTTCCCTACAGAGCCTTGCATTTTTAACTTTGCTTTTACTCATTCCTGTGCCTTATTACTTATCACGAACCATGTGCCTGCATGAACCTCTTATATAAGATGATTAGCTATGATTAGTCTGAAATGGATGCAATTTAGTACAATAGACACATTTGATAATAAGCATATCCTAGTTGTCATATCTTGGAGCATTAGTTTTGAATACATGCATTTTGGAAAGAAAATATTGTGAGGCATTTTGTTCCTTCCCTCCCCAGCATTTCCAGGCCAATTTAGAATCAACATACTCTCATTTTCATATCCAAAAGTTGACATATGCTGTTCATCCACTATTGCAACAATACTGATTCTTACAAAAGGTCACTTTCCATAATAAATAATATCCTGACCTTTGAAGATTCTTCCCAGACCTCGAAAATCCATCTGGTCAGAACAATTGAAGACCACAACATATTTTCCAAGGCACCTTCCCATATCTTTTGTTGTTTCTGTTTTGCCAGTCCCTGCAGGTCCTGCCGGTGCTCCTCCCATACTCATCCCTAACGCTTGAGCCAAAGTAATGTAACACCTACAAGGAAATAAGGAGCAGGAATAAGTTCTTCTTGTGGACATTTGGAAGACTTAAGGGTACTAAAATGCCAGGATAAGATATGGAGAAATAAAATAATTTTGAGTATTAATGTAGAAATTTATTTTATTTATTTATTTATTTATTTATTAATTGCATTTATATCCCGCCCTTCTCCTTTCGGACTCAGGGCGGCTGACAGATGATAAAAAGCTAACAAATACATATTACACCTAGTTAAAATTTAATTAAAACGAAATATTTGAGAGTGTCCAATTAAAAGTAATTAAAACCCCTATAAAATCCCCTAGGCCAGTCCCGCTTGCTGGAACAACCACGTCTTGAGGGCGCGGCGGAAGGAAGGGAGATCAGGGATCACCCTGATCTCTGGGGGCAGTTCGAAATGAGTATTAAATTAGGAGTATTGATGTATGGAGAAATATAGAAGGCACTTGGTTAGCACCCCTAAACCATGTCCGAAGGTAGGGAGAGGAGAGGAGAGATAGGAGGGAAGTAGGAAGGTAGTGGAAAAGAGGGCGGATGCGGGAAGGGGGTGCTGCCGAGCTGATGCCCGGTTAGCGCCCCTAAACCATGTCCGAAGGAAGAGGAGAGGGAAGGAGGTGGGATGTGTAGGAAGGAAGGAGGAGAAAAGAGGGCGGACGCGGGGAGGGGGGGTTGCCGGGCTGTTTTGCAATATTAACGTTTATGTTTGTATGTTAAAATTAATAATACTAAAGTTGTATTAATGTATGTTTATATTTGTATGCGGGGGGGATATTTCAAAATTAATAAAAAAAAATGGAAAAAAAAGATATGGAGATTTAATGCAAAAGAGAAAGCTATTTCAAGGTATCCTCTCTTAGTAGATGTTTGAATGCCCATTTTAGTGAGTTATAGGCTATACTCTGTTGCCTAGTGTGTTCAGTATGGTCTGGTGGGCCTCTTTTAGCATTGTTTTTTGAGAATCAGTTGTGATAGAGCCTTTTTTATGCTGTATTCTGTAAAGCCATCTATATTTTCCAGCATCTGACTGGGGAGGTACATTACATCAGAGGTCCCCAACCTTTTCGGCACCAGGGACCGGTTCCGTAGCACAGGGGTCCCCAACCCCCAGGCCATGGACCGGTACCAGGCTGTGGCATGCCAGCAACCGGTCCGCACAAACAAGCAAAGCCCCATCTGTGGAATGCAGGCAGCACACAAAACCACACTCCCTCTGGTCTGCAGAAAAACCTTTCTCCACAGAATCGGTCCCCGGTGCCCAAAAGGTTGGGGACCTCTGTCATAAAGAGAGGTTTTTCCACAGACCGGAGGGGGCGTGGTTTCACATGCTGCCTGCAGCCTGCAGATGGGGCTTCTCTTGTTTGTGTGGCCCAGTTTCTGTCATGCTACGGACCAGTGCCGATCCATAGACTGGGGGTTGGGGACCCCTGCATTACATAATGAGATTTAGATGTTGTATGTTGCTTCAGGGACAAAAAAACTATTTTCCCCCCAATGTAAAATTTAATATGATGCATATTCTAACTGTATCCCTGTAGAGAACCATGGAGATAGAGTATTCCTTGAGCCCTGGGAAAGGAGTCAGAATTAGGAAGAGATTCAAGCTGGCTCTTTCTTGATTTACTGGGTATAAAAAGGATGAGAGGAAAAAAGCAAACAAACTTAAAAGATTCTGTTAACATAGCATATCTCAATAAATTTTAATTTTAGATTTCTTATAGAGTCTATTTCCTGATCCTGAGAAGTCCAGAGTCAATTGAGGCTCCCTTATCTCCCACTGAATCTTCACTAAAAATTCATAAGACATTCTCCATAACCAATACTGGAAAATAACACTGCATAGTGTCAGCATATCTTTTTTCAACCTGTAAATATTCATGCGTTCCCCACCTGTCTGTGAGAGGTGTGATGACAAGTCGGTCTGTACAGCCCAGAAATTCATTTTGATATATGAAGGCCACATCTGTGATATTCACCATCATTTTATCTGCATCATCTTTGAAATAAAATCTGCATTGTTTCAGCCACTCAAAATCTGTAGGGCTCTTGATATGCATGCGGCACTAGAAACAAAGGAGTAGTTCAATATTAGTTCAATATTAAGTAGTTCAATATTAGTTCAATATTAAGGTAAGGACTAACCATACAGACATGCCTTCTATTTATTACTTGGAAACAACTATTTTCAAATGCAAAGTTAGGTCATCCTTGTGGTAACCACAGAATGCAATGGGAGTACAAAGCTGATAAAACAATCTCAGCACATACAGTAAATACATGATATAAGCTCTATATCTGACCCCATCCTCAAATGGGATTTGACTATTGTTGCTCTTTTTCTTCTGCCTTGAAAAAAACCTGAATAATCAAGTGATTAACTTGATTTGTAATGAATTAAATTTGAGTAATGGATATTACTTTATGACTAAGAGCAAATACAACATGACTGGATTTCGAAAAGTAATGGTGAATTAACTTTAAAAAATAGACATGAAACAGTATCTTCCTCTAATCCTAGTCACTTTCCACTAGAGGTCCATCTATAAGACTGAAGTAACCCTCAGCCACAAAATTGGGTCTCCTTTTCTATGGACTCTGAGTAGGTCAAAAGAAGAGTAATCTGGACTCAGTGCATAGGGAAATCCCCAAAACTATTATTTACAATGGAAAATAGGATTGTATTAGTAGCTGTTGTCCAGCTTAACAAGAAGGCTATTAGATTACAATGTCAAAGAAGCTTTGTAACATTAATAAACCCAGTAACATTTGGTCCAAAATGACTGACTGCATTGATTACATTTATATATCACAGACACATCTTATTCAGAAGAATTCAGCCTTTCACTAGCAGTTATTTAAATGAGATTTATTTTTTTTTACCAGATCATCAAATATGTCTCTTTGGTGCACATGAATCGTGATCAGTGTCTCGTATTTAATGCGTTCCACAGAACTCAGATCTTTGGTAGTCATGTCTATCAAGGTATTCAAGAGTTCTAAGAAAAACTGATTGGTTTTCTGCATCACTTTTTTGTCATATTTTGCATTGGTCAAAGCTTCCTCGGCTTCTCGTGTCCAGATCATTTGAATACCCAGCAAGCCAACCTTAAAAAATAATTTACATTAATGTTTACAGTGTTAATTGTTAAGTTTCCCAAAGCCTTTTTTTATTCAGCCAACCAATAGATGAGACATTACACTTTAAAAAATTAATTTTATCTGTGGGGTTTTATACACTCGTGAAAACTGAAATGAGGTTGAATAATCTTCTCCCATCTCAAACCCCTAATCCGCCAAGTCACACACCATAAGAGACAAGAGATGTGACTGCATTTCCAATATTTACACAAGCCTTAATTGAGGTAGTCAAAGGAACTGTAGAATATAAAATAATGCAGGGTTTTGCAGCAATGCTTCATCATGAGAACAGCTCATGAGCCATCTTAGGCTGCCCTGGGAATCAAATAGTACTTCCTCAGAAGAAGCAGAGGAAGACAACAAAGAGCAAAGCAAATGAACTATTTCAGGGAGAATACCCACTATCAACTGATAATAAGAATCTATAAGCAGGGTTCTCCCTTTTCTGCCTCCAGAATTAGAAGTACCCAAAAAGCAAATCTGAAACGATGAGAGTAATTGCTACAAGTGATGTTTCGGGGAACAGATGCAAGGTGCGGAAGACCCTCAATACCAAATACTCTGCTCCCCAAGTTGACCTGCACCCCAAGGATTGCCTTTCTTTTCTGCCATGCTTATGGTCTCATTCTTCAAAGAAGAAGACATTCTTTTCCTGACTGTTAGGACCATTTCCTGATAGTTAGAACAATTAATCAGTGGAACAACTTGCCTCCAGAAGTTGTGAATGCTCCAACACTGGAAGTTTTTAAGAAGACAACCATTTGTCTGAAATAGGATAGGGTTTCCTGCCTGAGCAGGGGGTTGGACTAGAAGACCTCCAAGGTCCCTTCCAACTCTGTTATTCTTTTATCATCTGGAAGGAATGGAATTATCTCTGCTCTTGATTAGTTTCCTCAGGTCTAAATTTCAGTTTTTATTTATTTTTGTTTTTTGAAGGCTGGCATTATTGCAAACAAGCTATTAGTATCATGTACTGGAAGGCTTATAAATTATTTAACCTGAGCATTTTTAGACATATTGGAAATCCCCAAAAGCGTACGCTATATTTTTTCAAGACAGGGAACTAAGACTATTTCATAAGAATTCCAAACCCAAGCTAAGAGCTAAAGATGAATCACATTAGCAAATTACATATCTACTCATTCTGAAGCTCTACCAAATTTAATAAGACCTCCTAAATGCCAATTGGAGTATTTATTAGAAATAATTCATAGTAAAGATATTTCTGTCTGTATTAACATTTGTAGCAATCACAATCCTGGAAACGTGGATCACACCCTCCCCTATTGAGAAGGAAGGAAAGGGATAATTCACCTGGGCAGGGAAGGTATTAAGAAACTCAATTAATTGGAAATCTGCTTCCTGAATATTTGCAGCTGCTTGTCGAATCACAAGGTGCAAGGAGGATTGGGACTCCTTTAAAAGTAAATTGAGCCAAACTTCTACATTGCCTTCCGCCATAACGGGCTTTTCTAATTCAATTGTCTCACCTTCCCGGGAGGAAATGGAAAGGATCCGGTCATATACCTGTGAATCATACATACTGCATGAACATTTCATAGTAACAGTTTGTTTTTCATGTTTTTTTTTAACTTAGATTGTGAATCTGATATTAGGACTACCAACGTTTTGTATGTGCTCTTTGTTGGAACTAATAGAAACTTTGGGGAAGGGAGATTTAAATTAGGGATACAAAATAAAAGGATATTATCCTTTTATTTATTTTCCCCTCCCCATTCCCTGTCTTTTATTTAATACTTAAAACAACTAATTCTATATAATATACATAGTACATACAATTCTATCACAGATCTCCATTGGACCCTACAACAAATCCTATACCAAGTCAGACATTTTATACCTCACATCATGTATTAATATTTATAGTCTCTAATACAGCGGCTCTCAAACTTTTCTATACACTGCACCCCTAGAATGCTTCTGATATATTCTTGCACCCCTTACAAAAGTTCTAAATAATGCCAACAAATTATGCATATACACTATAATTTTTAAAACCCAAGTTTTTGCACCCCCTGGAATATCGTCTTGCACCGTCAGGGGGTGCGAGCACCCCCGGTTGGGAACCCCTGCTCTAATATGATTGACATTCACTCATCAAAGAGGCAGATAAATATCTTTTCAGGACCTGGTAACTTTTTAGCTGGCAACACTACAAATTAATTGGACGATTTCATGCACTACTAGACAACGGCTCCTCTGCAGATAGGATAATACTGCTGTGTTTTTACATTGCATGAATCTAGTCAACAAAAATAGCTAACAGATAGCAAAAACAAAAAACAAAAAAAACAGGGAATGGATGAAGCCAAACAGATCGGGATATAATTCTCATCAGTCCCAATCAGCTTAATATTCTGCAATTTGGGTCAATTTAGCCCTGAACATATGGAGTTATCAGATTGCCTCCCTCCAGGTAAGACCCTAAACTCAACCACGAGGTGAAAAATAAAGATGTGATGGATAGATGATCAACTATGTCAGTGGTGGCGAACCTATGGCACGGGTGCCAGAGGCAGCACTCAGAGCCCTCTCTGTGGGCACCCACGCCATCGCCCCAGTCCTAGGCCTTCAGCTGGGTTTTATACTTTTTCGCTTTAGGCCTCCGCCGCCATGTACAAAAAAAAAAGGTTCAATCAATCAGTCAATTTCAACTTCTCATGAAAAAAAAAAGATCTTGCAAAGTTGGAATTGATTGATTGAACTTTTTAGTCCCACCCAGTCTGCCATTACTACCGCAGCCACGCCCACCCAATGGGCCACACCCAGCCAATGGGCCACACCCAGCCAATGGGCCACACCCACCCGGCACCCGACGATGCATAAGTGGGTTTTGGGTTGCAGTTTGGGCACTCGGTCTCTAAAAGGTTCACCATCACTGAACTATGTGAATCATTTCACTGGTTACTGAGGAGCCTTTGTGTTCTTGGAGGTAACACCAGGGTTCAAGAGAGCTTGGCAGATCTGCAGCAATGATCATGCCCTTAGTAGATAATCAAAACAATAAAATACTACAATCACACAAACCTTATCATGGAATTTTACAGTTTTGATGTTGTCAAAAACATTTAGCAAGTGAGCCTGTATAGTGTGAGAGTCTGAAGCTTGGCCTAGGATCTCCAGGAGAGCAGGGTCTGACACAAAGAAGAAGCGAGGAAATGAGAGCCTCTTTTTCTCCAGGTAACTGAAACAGAACAAAACCAAGAGGAATAGGGTCACCTGTGTAAACTTTAAACTAAGTTTGTCATAATCTTCCAATGGTCAGATTTCCTCAGCTCTTCTCTACAGAAAACGTCATTAATGATATAATCAGAGTCTCGTCTTGCAGCTGACATTTTAAATGTTTTGATCATGTCACTGCCATCCATTAATTCATATATTGTGTGAACTAACGAACCTCACTTCACTCAGACATATTTACACTAAAATGTTAAGCAATACAAAAATATGCAGAACAATGGCTTGAATAAGTACTAAATATGGTGAAAATAGTGATTAATTGCCTTGTCTTAACTGTATCCATTCCAGCAACCATGTGAGTATATCCAGTCCAGCAAGGAAAACACAGACTTTTTTGGATCATAGATTAACATTACATGCAGAAATTGAAAAACTCTCTTATCCTTTCCCATTCCTACAATAGCACAGATACAAGTAGATCATGTGCTTCCCAATATTTATAAATTTTGGAAGCTCTGATAAATTTAAGCTAAAGTAATCTTAACTAAATTCACATTGGCCAGTGTAATTCCTATCTTTCATGCTAAATTAAAAACAAAACACAGCAATAGGATAGAAAAAGTTTCTATCCTCCAGCATTTCCTTTATGTCTTCTATCTGAATCAATTAAAACAGAGCTGGGAGCAGTGAAGACAAGGTAGCATGAGTCAACTATCTTGAATTCTCTTTTCTAATCACAAATCACATACAGATTAAATCTTAAGTCAAGCCTAACCATGCTGTGACTTAGTAACGCCATGCAAAACAGGATTATGACTAGCCCAGGGGTAGGCAACCTTGGCTCTTTTATGACTTGTGGAGTTCAACTCCCAGAATTCCTGAACCAACATGGCTGGCTCAGGAATTCTGGGAGTTGAAGTCCACAAGTCATAAAAGAGCCAAGGTTGCCTACCCCTGGACTAGCCCAAAAGACTTATACACACCATGTTGTATTAATCTGAGACACAATATTCATGAAGATGCTTATATACTCTATGTTAAGATAGCCATATATTGTAGGCTCTGTCATGAATATTGTAAGGACCACTTAACTCCTTTGTAATTTAGTTTTTAATTTCAAAATAATATCAACAGATTCACGACTGCTCTTGCCCACAAAAAGGATTTTTAACCTAGATGCATACTAGAACAAAAAGCAATAAATATGTCATTTTCCCTGTTAATTAATACAATTGATTGTATGTTAGTGAAGAGCTTTTAAATAAGCAGAACTTACCCTGTTAGAGACTTTTGACACATTTCCAACTGCTCCAATAAATGAGGCAGTAATTGTCCCATGGTTTCATCTCCAACACAGCACTGGACAACATTTGGTATTTCATGGGCTCGCGTCATTATCTTCACCCATGATTTGTCAATATTAGAGAAACGCTTGGCTTCCTGTTTAAAGTACAAATATGAGTGGCACTTCAGTCACTATACATGTTCTATAGATGTGAAGATTTGATAGGTTTCTGTCAGCAATATTTCTTTTCTCATCGTCTTCTGCTTATACTAAGCTAATGTTTAGAAACCAGTTTTGATGTCTGTTAAGTTATTAATCTAATTGCTTTATCACAAGATAAGCTCCAACACTGGAAGTTTTTAAGAAGAGACTGGACAGCCATTTGTATGAAATGGTGTAAGGTTTCCTGCCTGAGCAGGGGGTTGGACGAGATGACCTCCAAGGTCCTTTCCAACTTTATATTATTATTGTTGTTGTTGTTGTTGTTGTTGTTAAAGATGGGACTCCCCGGCCCTCTAAACCAGCAGTCCCCAACCTTTCTGGCTCTGTGGACCGGGAGCTGTGTCAGCAGAGGGGAGGGGATGGTTTCACACATACGCACATGCCAGGATGCACAAATAAAGTTTCCCGCACTCACCCACTGCTTGTGCAGCCCAGTTGCCAATGGGCCACAAACTGGTAGTGTTCCACAGACCGGGATTGGGGACCCCTGCTCTAAACTATAGCTTCGAACAGTGTCAGTATCAGTCATCCCAGTTTGGGCTATTGAGAGATGTAGTTCAACAGCATCCAGATGTCACAGCTGCACAGGTTACCTTTAATAGATCTGCAGATTCATCTACAGAACAAAGAAGGATTCTTACCTTAGGAAGCTGTTTGGCAATATCTCCACCGACAAACACAGCTTCTAAATATATCCATAAATTCTGCACCATCATCCAGTTCTCAATAATATCAGTTGTATTAGACAGATATTGTACCCATTTTTGTATCTGAGCCTTGAATGGTGTGTTATATCTGCAATAATTGCATATATTCAAAAATGAGCAAATGAATCTCTACATTTGAAGAAAAAAAAGAGAGGTCTACATATTACATATTACCTATTGCTCATTAGGGAGCCCAGAATCATCAAGCTGTCCTCCATACTTGCAATAATTTCTGAAGTGCTGTCTCCCCTCAAGAGAAGTTCCCCGCGGGTTTTGAAGTTAGCAAAAGTAAATGTTTTATTGTCCCATTCAGCAATCACTTGTTTGAGCTTCTGTTCAATGTCCCTCTCCTTCATTGCACTGATGCAGATGTCCTACCAAAATCAATCAGGGTTAGTGTGAAAAACTAAATCCAGAATATTAAAATATTTTCCAGTCAATAGCCTCTAGCAAATACATGGAAATTTCCAAGCTAAAGTTAAAGGAATTGCTTCAATACATGCTGTGGGTACAAAAAAGTTGAATAAAATGTGAATGATTATTCAGGCAGATAAACCCACTTGCTATAATCCAAAACAAAGTATTTTACTACCCATGGACATAATATATAGCTTCCTAAGGATGACCATCAGCCAATCAGCTGTCTCAGCAATAGTCAAATCACAATCTAAATTTATGACATCTACAGACTGGTCCCAAAAAATAGTCTAAGATTTTCTGATCGGTCGTAATGCTGAAATTTATTTGGGTTGCAAGTTTGATTCAAATTCTCATACTGTAGATTGCATGGAAATCCCATATGCATTCCTGGAGTAAAAGCAGCACAAAGGCAGCAACTGTTCAATAATAGTGTTAGAGTTCTGCAAACATAAAAGATATCATTGACCAATTGAACTTGTTTTGCAGCTGGAGGCCTGGGAAAGTCCCTCTCAATTAAATGCACTAGTATATACTGCAGCTGTCAGTCCCAAGTCCTCCACTGTGCCACAGCAGTAGGTTACTATAGCAAAATTGGATTATTATCCTGAGCCAAGGCAGTGATGTTCATTTTTCAGACTTGTAGTGATCAAGATAGATTTGGCTATTTCTTAGAGCAGGAAGGAACACCTGATCAAACCCGTTAAAACTTAAATAGGGCTGGCCTGGATTAGTTTTACGATGAAAGATCACTATAGGAAAGACTGAGAAGTTTAAAAATATCCCAAGAGATGGCAATGGCAAACAACATCCATACTGCTGGGATAGCTATGAAGTCACCAGAGGTGAGCTTGACCTGGAGATTTTACTCAAATAAAAAAGTAATGTCTCAAGTGTAGCAATAACAGATTTGCTATCTTCAGGGGGTTTTTTTGTACAGAATATGTTGAGTGAGAAACCTTGTGTGCTTTGGGAATAGAATTGACTAAATAGGTAGATCATTCGTTGCAATATCAAAGATGCAAGCACATCATTTTCTACTACCTCTATCTCTTCTTTGTATTTCAGCAAGGGTGCTTCCATAATATTTCTCAGTTTGAAAGTTTCGTTTTCAACATCAAAATTATGGGCAGTGAGATCAGTGATACGTTTCCAGTGACGTGCCATCATGGCTTTATTGGACATCATCTCAAGCAAAGGACAACATTCATTGAAGTCATCAATTGTTTTCTTAAGATCCAGAAATGCCTGCCATTCCTTCAATGCTCGAGGTAGCTTACGACACCTACAGGGACACATACAGTGGACACGCTCAAAATAATTGTAACATTCCACTAGAGAGAAATATTTGAAAACAACTACCAATCTTAAGAATCTATACACTACTAAAACTCTCCCGTTTATCTGTGTGTAAACTTTAAGTGGGTAAAATGGTGCATTGTAAGACAATAATTTTTGAATCTCAAATGGGCTAACTTGCAGAATGTGTCCAAAGTCCAGAACCCATGACTTCTGTGGAACTGAAATTTGGCATATTTTATAAAACATTTTATGACAAAATGTAAAATGTCACAAAACTTTTCCTGATGTTTGACTGTACTGTACTGTTTAACATGGACTATTTTCAAGGCAAATGCATCTCTGAATATCTTCCTGAATTTTTAAGAACTTTTCCAGTGAAGAACGTACATTAGAAGCTCTGTCATTGAGAAATTCGGTAAGGAAATGTCTCTGATACAATGACTCAGCTGGTCACAGGTTGTCTAGTATTTATTACTAGTCTCACACAATTCAAAGCAATTTTCTTTCCAGGTAAGCATATACAGAATTCTAATACTAAACACTTCCATCAACACTCTAGTATTTGCAGGACAATATATAATTTATTTTTAAACTTTTAAAATCTATTAATATAGATTAGCAGTGGAATGGCAGTGTCTGGCCCTGCAGAGATATCTCATTAATTTTCTGCCAAAGGCAAATTATGCAAGTTGCAATCCTGTGTCCAGAAGATTTCCACCCCACCCTGGAAAAATACATCAGAGCACAGCTTTATTTCTTTGGATTTGAAAGGAATTGTCTAAAGATATGCCAAGTTCACATCTTACATTAAGAAGTGCTTTTTAAACCACGGTTTGTAGAACAGTCCTGTATACACATAACTTGTTTAAAAAGCCACAGTAGTCGAATCTATGCCCCACATTAAGCGATATCAAAATGGAAGGGATCAAAATCAACATGATGGCAAGCAGCCACAAGGCAGGCAACATGCAAATGCATGTGCAAAACAGGCAGGACTTGCATTGTGATATTCTGTCCATCATCCTTGACAATTTTGATATTTACCCCTCACATAGCACTACATACAAACCACATTATGACTTAGCTGAACCTGCAAAATCATAAAACAGGTATCTATTAAAATCAATTAACACCCCACCCCACCCTGGAAAGCTTAAAGCACCATTTCTACTACAGTGACTATACCTACAATTATTGCAAAGTTTTAAAATAAACCCAAAGGATATATTAGAAAAGCTCCCATAAAGTAGCCAAGGAATACTAATATTAATCATCCATTACTCCTCCATCTTCATTATTCAGTTTTTACTTCTATGACATAACACTGCACATTAAATATTACAGAATATTCAGTAACAAAGTCAAGACAATCAAGCTTATTTCCATATCATTGTTCTGTTAAAAAAAATGCTGCATTATCGGTGCATTTATTTCCATGGCATATGCACTTCCCAATAGAAGAAGAGTCATAACATAGTGGCATTTATTAGAGATGCAGACAAATTAATCAGAAGAAATAAAATCAATTAACATTTCAACAAGTACCAACAAGTAAATGAGATTCAATTTTCTTTCTCTTGGTCTTTCAGAGGTCTGCTTTAAGCAGTGTATTGTTAGCATCAGCCTGAAAGAAACCAATTGTTCCCTCCACCTATTCTCAGTAATAGAGCACAGTAGCTCAGTTGAATAGAGTCATACAGTTCCTATGATTTCCTCACCTGTTCTGAAACTCAAGAAGTTCATTATTAATCTTCTCAATGTTTACATCTGACCAGAGGATATCATGGTAGCCATTCACGGTATCAATGACATTGTTGTACAGGCTGTAAAGCTTCTGCAACAAGTTCAGCTGCTTCTTTATCTCAAGGAGTTGAGGGTACGGAGTGACAGGCAAACCAAAAAGCTCTTCACCTCCCGTGTAGGTGATGTATTTCCGGAAAAGGTTGTCAAATCGGTTCTAGAGAGTAGAATAAAAGTTTGAGTATACTTAACAATATTCAAAACCATAAGCAATACATAAATAACTACCTTGAGTAGGTTTATTTTTTTTCTAAAGCAGAAAAGTCAGTAACGAAAGAAAATTAAGAACTCAAGAGATAACAGCCAAATATGGAGTTCATGGTAGGTTGGGTTTTCCATTCTCTATTGTACAGCCTCTGAATTCCCACTTGTAGGTGAAAATTGTTAAGAAACAAAAGAACCAATACAGCTACCAAGAATCTTGACATTCCCTATCTTAAAAACTGGCGCTCATAAACACATACACTGATGATATACTAAACTAGATTATTGCTGCCTGCGGAGGATGGTTGCTGAAAACTGTCTCTGCAAATTCCATTTTTGAATATTATCATGATTCTCATTACCACTTTGGGAGACATGCAGCACAATGCAATACAAGTTCAAAATATAGCTCCGTGCATGAAAAAGGCACCTGCACGTGCATACAATTCAGTCTCCTTGAAAAAGGTGTTCCCTTGAAAATCTCCCTAATCTTCCGGGCATAGATTTAAGGTTTCTATTCCCAGGACATCCATGGAAGGAGAATACTAACATCAACAAAGTTTGTCAGTGATTTGTTTTTAACTCAAAAATAAAAAAATCCAACGTATATTTGAAAACATACCAACAGACTAATGATTTTGCTTCAAACACTTGGAACAAAACAGGCACTACTTTGTTCTTACAAATTTCTCTGGAGTAACTACTGATGGTCAGTCTGGAAAATACTGTTAAAAGGAAGCAGCCTCTGGGAAATTGCACTCCCCCACTCCCAGGTTTTAGGAGTGAGCAGAGCATTTTTACTTTTCTAGCACCAGGCTAGAAATCAGGAGATTGTGAATTCTAGTCCCACCTTAGACATGAAAGCTGGCTCAATGACTTGGGCCAGTCACTCCTTCTCACCTCAGAGTTCTTGTACGGAAAACAGGAAGAGGAAGGATTATTAGGTATGTTTGACACCTTGAGTTATTTATAAAGTATGAGAGAGAGAGAGAGAGAGAGAGAGAGAGAGAGAGAGAGAGAGAGAG